GATAATAGGTCTAGAGGAATACTTCTTTCTTATTTAGGTGTGTTACTTATTATAATATCTTTACTTAAGAGTAGTTATTAAGAAGGCTTTTTTTAAGGGGTAAAAGGTTTCTACTTAGTTAGGTTTTTTTTTAGTGTAACTAGGGTTTTAAATAACTAAAAGCTTTATAAGTTACTATAAGATAGTTAGATATCCTCTACCTTACTATATAGTCTTACTAGGAGCAGCTAGTTAGTTTTTATATCTTTTATAATTCTTTTTACTATATAGAGGGTGCTTTTAACCTAGTAAAGGTTATTAGCTTAGCTAGCGTCTAACTAAAAGCCTTATTACTTATTATTACTAAAGTAGTATAGTATATCCTAATAAAGATTTATAGTTATAAGGGATTATATATTATTATAAAGACTTTAGAATAGTTACTAGGTAAAGAAATTTATAGTTATAAGGGATTATATATTATTATAAAGACTTTAAGGTAGCTACTAGGTAATCTTATAGAATAGGTTTTACTTAAGCTATATATAGAGATACCTAAGTTTAGAGATCTAACTAGGTTAAAAGAGTTTTAGTATACTATGTTTTTAAGCCTATTACCTTTATTAAGGTGTATATATTTTTTTACTATATAGTAGTAAAAGGAAGGTTTAAATAATAGTAGTAAAAATAATAAAAGTAATAAGAATAATAACATAGTATAGATTAAGATAGTTATACTACTACCTAATATAGCTTTTCTAGTAGCTATAATAGATCTAATAGGATAAAGCTAGGCTGTAGTAGTAAGGTAAAGTAACGTAGTGTAAAGGTAAAGCGTAATAGTAAAGTAGTAGAGTAAGATAAATAATAATAAAAAGCTAAATAAATAATATAAAATAAAATAAGTAATAAATAGGTAGTAATATTCTTAGTTAACCTTTTTCTCTATAAAGGGGCTCTTACTAAAGGTATATATATCTATAGTATATATACTATATTATATATACTATAGGTATATCCCTACTATATACTTAACTCCTAACTATAGGCACTTAACCTCTTGTTTTATAACACTACTTACTTAGTATATCTATCTCTATATAAAGTCTAATATTGTTAGCCTTAATAAAAGTAAGCCTATATACTAACTTACTAATACCTTTAGCTAAGAGGTTAATAACCTTATATAATAGTATTAGTAAGCTTCTTTAATATCTCTAGATCTTTTTCTTAAGTAAACTAGCACTTTATATACCCTCTAGTGCTATAGCGAGTATTTTTAGGTTCTATAAGCCTAAGCTAGTTAGATATAAGTTAAAAGGTATTAGTATGTTTAGCTTAAAGTCTAATAAAATAATAACTACTTTAGGGTTAAAAGGTATAAGGCTAGCTTATCTAAAACTAGCTTATATATTTCTTATTTTTATAAAAGTAAAAAACACTATATTAAAGTTAGGAAAGAAATTATCTTTTATAATATATAGAATCTATATCTATATTATCTTTTTAATATCCTTAGTATATAAAAGCTTTAATAACCTAAAATAAGTTATATTAAGAGGCTAAAGCCTATATAATAAATAGGGAGGTCTATATAAAATAATAATTCTTTATTTTATATAGAAATAATTAAATTTAGTTAATTTATAGCTATTATAGCTATTAAGGATTAAAAGTTAATAAGTAACTTTTATATAAGACTTTATATATTAGTTAGAATAGTTTAACTAATTTAAGGTAATCTTATCTACTATTTATTTATTTTTACTTAAGTAGATATACTATTTAGCTAGAAAGTAGCTATTTTAGTACTAAGAGAGGAGGTAATATTTACTTTGTATAATAATATATAAAGGTATTACCAAGCTATCTATATATATACTTTAAATAATAGAAACCTATTCTTAATTACTAGGCTAGTTTATATAAAGCCTTCTCTTATAGTTAGAGGATATAATAATCTTTATATATAATAGTATTCCTATTAGAAATCTAGTCTTCTTAAAATTATAGATATTATAATCCTATCTTATACTTTATAATTATATTTTATATTAGTATAAAGTAGCCTTATATAATTATAAGATCCTTAGCTAAGGCCCTTTAGTAGTGAATGTAATATTAAAATCATATTTTTAATTATAGTTACTATTATATAAAGTTCTCTACCTATTAGGGTCTGACACACGTTACGTTATATACATTTTAAAGTTAGTTAGCTATATCTTATATATTATCTTATTATGAAGAAAACCCTTAATTAATTAGGTTAATAACACTCTAAAGGATTACCTCCTCTTTAGATATAGTTATCTTTATTGATTATATAGTTATCTTTTAGCTTATATAACGTGTCTAGTGCGTTAGTTTATATAGTGTTACTTAGGGGACCTTAAAGGTATAGGCTACCTTTTGTATAGATACCTTTAGATCTTATTTAACTACCTAGATAGTAAGGATAATACGGCTTTTATTTAAGGAGGATTACATATTTTTACGTAAAGGAAAGTAAGTCTAAAGGTTAAAAAGGTAAAAAGATTAAAAAGGCAGCGACTTACTATAAGTAGTAACTTACTATATGGGTACGTTGCTTATAAGAACTACTACTATAAGTATAGTAATTATCTTATTAGAAGATACCTAGAAGATTATCTAAGTAGTTATAAATACTTACTTAGAAATAGACCTTATTAACTATTAACTAATAAGGTATTTAGGCCTTAGCCTTATAAAGTTAAAAGTCTTAATCATTAAGTTATTTATAAAGAAAGTAATAAAATAAATATATATATACTAACTAACTTTCTTCTTAATTAATTATTAACACTAGTTATAAAAGCTTTACTAACTAGTAATTAAGATTAAAAAAGAAAAAGACTAACTTAATATTTTTATATATAGATAGTTTATAAGTAAAAAGATATCGAAATTTATATAGTTACTAACTAATAGTATTATTATAAATTATTAATTACTAAGCTAAAGGTAATTATATATAATATAGTAAAGAGTAGAGAGTAAGTATATATTTTATATATATTATATAAGGGAATAAATAGGTACGCACTATATATTAATATATACGCTCTAACTTTATATACGCTCTGTTATTTATCTATCTTATTAGGCTAAGAAAACAGTATATCTCTATAAAGACAGTAAACTTAAACCTACTAACACTTCTACTATTCCTAGTACACTATTATCTAATTAGCCTAAATAGATATAGGAGATAGGCCTAACGTAGGGGTCCTTTTTATAGCTATAGAAAACAGGCTCTAAAGGAGGTAATCTTTATAGCTATAAAAAGAAGCCTCTTATTAAGCCTATTTCCTATAGCTATAAAAGGTAACCCTCTTACTAAGCCTTTTTCTTATAGCTATAAAGAGTAACCCTCTTACTAAGCCTTTTTCTTATAGCTATAAATAGTAAACCTTTTTTTATTTAAGTTTTATAAAGATATATTACTTATTACCTTTTTTTATAAATCTTAAATAAGGCTATAAATTAAAAGATATATTACCTAGCTACTTTTTTATAATATAGTTATAAGGATTTATTATTACTACTAACTATTTCTTACTAACTTTATGTCCTTTAACTACTAGGCTAAAGTAGCTATCTACTTATATAACTTCTTATTATCTTTTTTTACTAAAAGTATTAGACTAGCTTCTTATTTATTACTAAATAGAGGGTAAACTCTAGCTTTAACTTAGTTAACTTACCTTATATATAGACCTAGATAGCGTTAACCTCTTCTTATTTCCTAGTAGGCAGCCTTACTTCTTACTACTTATACCTTAGCTATAACTTTAAGGGTAGGCTTAGGTAGCTAACTAGCTCTCTTAAGGTAAGGCTAGTTATAATAAGATAGGTTATACTATATTCTTTAGTCTGCTATAAAGAGATACTATAATCCTTAGATTAAAGATCTAGTAGTATAAATTAAAAAAAGATATCTCTTAAAGACGCTATTAGGGGTATACCTCTTAGTTACTAAAAATTACTAAATTTAGTATCTAAGTAAAAATCTTATAGTAGTATAAAATACTAAGCTTAGTTAAAACTATATAGTCTAAACTATATTCTTTAATAAAGACTAAAAATAGTCTTTTACTAAAAGCTATTACCTTTTTAGCTAACTAGTATTACTTTCTAATTAATACTAAGCACTTTAAGAAAAGTAGTATCTAAAGTTTACTAAGAAGCTTAAGGTAAGTCCTTATATACTTCTAGCTTCTAAGGACTTTATCTTTAGTATAAGCTTACTTAAAGCGTAACTCTTAGTTACTAAGTATATCTTATATAATATTAATAAGTTAATATAAGGAACTATTACTATTTAAAAAAATAGCTCTTAATATTATTATTACTTAACTTTAGTGCTAAAGGTAGAA